GTTGTGCTTTAAGTGGGCAGATGAAAGCCCTGTTCCAGTAAAGGGTGCAGCCCAAAGGTACACTTGGTAACATGCCCACTTTTTCAGGAACCCATGAAAAAACCTGTGTCTGGAGCATCCTTGGGTGATCCAAGACTGCTCCTGAAGCTCTTCTGGGCAACACTGATCCAGAGCAATGAGAGGAGGCTTCAGGAGGAGAAACATCCAGGGGTGGGATGGCATATTGTCAGCCCTCTCATTCAGGCAGATGGAGCAGGACAGTATGAGCAGGAGGTTCAGGGATGGTGCATCACAACTCCAGCACTCTTTGCTGTGTAGAAGGCTATGCCACACCTGGGGTAGTGAGGGCCTTCAGGCCATGAGTACGTTGCAGCAGACTGCTCTGCTCATAGGAGACTGAGAGGAAACACACCTCACAGCAGGGACGGAGATCTTGGGATCCTGCTCTTTCAGGCTGGAGAAGAACATGTCCTCCTGCTCCTCTGCTCTGCAGAAACAACACCCCACATTTCACAGTGAGACAGCTTTGGGAGGTGGGACAGGACTCTTCCATAGAGCAGTCCCCGTCTTCTCCAGCAGAAGCAGAGTCTGAATGATTCTCATCTCCAGAGAACGATGTAACTATTGAAAATGACTGAATCTGTCCCCTCCCCATGGCATCTCTGCACGGCTGTGTCAGCAGGTTTACTCCACAAACCAGCTCTGCTCCACTAACGGGGGAAACACCTCATTTGCAAATTCAGCTGGGGTCTTGGTGCCCCAAAGAGACCCACGTGCACAGCCCTGGCCGGGATCAGGAAGTCTCACCCAAGCCCTGAAACAGAAACGTGGTGGTAGAGGAAACTGCGTGGCACCTGGCTGCACTGAATCATGAATGGTTTGGGTTAGAAAGGACCTGAAGATCATCCAGTTCCAACCCCCCTGCCATGGGCAGGGGCACCTCACACTAGACCATGGCACCCAAGGCTCTGTCCAAGCTGGCCTTGAACACTGACAGGGATGGAGCATTCACAATTTCCCTTGGGCAACCCATTCCAGTGCCTCAGCACCCTCACAGTAAAGAACTTCTTCCTTATCTCCAGCCTGAACTTCCCCTGTTTCAGTCTGAACCCATCACCCCTTGTCCTATCACTCCAGTCCCTGATGAAGAGTCCCTCTCCAGCAGCCTTGTAGCCCCCTTCAGACCCTGGAAGCTGCTCTGAGGTCTCCACACAGCTTCTCTTCTCCAGGCTGCACAGCCCCAGTGTTCTCAGCCTGGCTCCATGCAGGAGGTGCTCCAGCCCCTGCTCATCCTCATGGCCTCCTCTGCACTTGCTCCAACAGCTCCATGTCCTTCTGATGTTGAGGACATCAGAACTGCACCCAGTGCTGCAAGTGGGGTCTCACCAGAGCAGAGTAGAGGGGCAGAGTCACCTCCTTCGAAGCTGACCAAGCCTTTAGTGGGCCCATATTTCAAGCTCAAACTCAGCACTGAAGCTTTGCAGGCCTAGTAAGCCTAATTTTAATTGCTGTACCCCTCTGCTGCCCTTCTTACTTGATCCACGAATGGAGCTGCCATATTCTTCATCTCCTGACTTTAGAACAAGCCATTTCACCTCATCATGCAAGAAAACCTTGCATGATTCACTCTAGCACCAGTCTGCTTTATGATCCAGCTGTTTCCTTATCCCTTTTTCCCTTAAGCGTGTTTATGTGCCTGTGTCCACCTCTCCCCAGCACAGCCCACATTCCTATTGCTGGACTCCACCCCTGCTGCCTCCCCTTTCTTGTGAAGAGACCTTTTTTTGCCTTGCATTCACACTATGAAGCCAATGGCTCAATGAAGCCCTCCAGCAAAGTGCAAGAAGAAAGGCTGGAGCATTCAGTGCAGTGATTTGCTGTGTGATGGTCTAGAATAGAATAGAAAGACATCAGAGGCAGGGGGTTGAGCTTTGTACCATAGCCTTGGTAAGGAGGTGGGAGATGCATGCTTAGACCAGCAAGCTTTCAAAGGGCTTCCTTTACCTGGAGCATCTTCTACCATAGTCCAGTTGCTCTGCCCACCCATTCTTCTTGCAGCATCCTGTAATTAATGCTGTCCCCACCCAGCCATTTCAGCAGTATCGGGATGACTCCTGATCCCGTGGCCAGCTGTGTCCCCTGTGACAATCTTAGGTCCTCTCTTTTCCTTGCTAGCAGCACACAGGTCCTCTCCAGGAAACAGTGGAGCTGATAAGGTTAAATTGTGCTGGGGAGAAAACCAGAAAGCTCAAGGCCCTTGTTCGCATCTCATGGGGATGAGGGGAGTGTACAGGACATTGGAGGAGCAGGAGAGCTGAAGGAACATGTAATGGGTGATGGGTTCAAACTGAAACAGAGGAAGTTCAGGTTGGAGATAAGGAAGTTCTTCACTGTGAGCGTGTTGAGGTGCTGGAACAGGGTGCCCAAAGAAGTGGTGAATGCTCCATCCCTGTGTTCAAGGCCGGGCTGGATGGGACTTGGACCAACCTACTCTACTGTGAGGCACCCCTGCCCATGGCAGGGGGTTGGAACTGAATGATCTTAAGGTCCTTTCCAACCCAAACCATTCCATGTCTCGATGATTCTATGCTTTCCTCATACCCAGATGTTAAATCTCAGGCGCTGCACCTCAAAGCTGAGATAAATCCTGTGTCATTGCTCATATATAGGCTACAAAAAGCCAGACTGACTCTTATGGGCACAACCTTGGTCTGAAAGCGGGGTCCTATGAGTGCGCCACAAAGCTGAAACTTCCCAGTTTCTTGGTGTTTGATTTGTAAACCAGAGAATGAAATGGGCCCAGCAGCTTGTTCCAGTGATCTTAGACCACAGAAACACTCACAGTCAGTTCCTGCTGGGAATACCTGGCAATGGCAAACAACACTGAGCCATAGAAGAACAAACGGAAGTGGAGGGGTGCAGGCACTGATTTGTTTTCCACGTAGAGGACTCTGAATGCACTCTGACAAGTCAGGAGCTGGGATTTCTTCTGACAGATGCATTTGCCAGGGAATGCTGATTATGCAGAATTAAACCCATCTGTGGCATGCAGTTCGTCAAACCTGCTCGTGTCTTGCTGGCTCACCAGCCGTTTCCTCTACTCCCAGGCTTCCTTGACAGCCAAGGTCCCTCCCTCAATGCCCTGCAGCTCATTTCCTAGAGGACTTCAGCTATTTCTATGGGACCTACTGAACCTGGGCCTCTTCAACAAAGCTTCCTGGTGTATTACACTCTGAAACTCATCCTACCAAGCAGCGCAGGCTGCCCCATGCACCACAGCCCTTGTATCTTTAAGCTTTCCCAATCCTGTATGTCTAATCCCATTTAGGCTCTGGTAAACAGCTAGGGAAGTTGGTTCTCTGTGTGCTTAGGTCTTAGATGGGGCTGTGCATGCAGAGGGGTTACACATGAAGAGGGGGTGTTATGAATGCAGGGGGCTTGCATGTAGGAGATCCATGCATAAAGGGAGTCCTGCACACATGGGTTTGTACATGCAGGATGTGTGCATTCAGGGTGGTTGTTAATGTATGATGGGGTAGTGCTCGAGGGATCTGTGAATGAAAATGCACAGAGGAGGAGAAGAGGCATGAATGCAGCAGATCCTTGTGATACAGAGGGTTGACCATTGTACGGGGGGGTTGTACAAGGGGGTTGTACAGGGGGGTTGTACAAGGGGGTTAGAGGAATTTGTTTAAACAAAAGGACTATCTGTTGTAAATGCCTGCTAAGCAGAACAGAGACCTCCGGTCCTGTTAATAAGCAGACGCCTGAATCTACTGATAAAGGGGAGAAGCAGAGGATTTACGGCTGGGACACTGATCAAACTCTACTGATAAAGGGGAGAAGTAGAGGATTTACGGCTGGGACACTGACCAAACTCTAAGGCCACACATAAAGAGTAAAAAGGTGAAAAGTGCAAGAAGAGGAAGACTCATTTACTTCATCTTGAAGACCCCTACCCAGAGGAGGAAGACTCATTTACTTCATCTTGAGACCCCTGCCCATGACCAGAGGGGGCACTGCGCAGGCGCAGAGGACCTTCTGTCTCATTATAATACGAAGCGGGGATAGGACATGAATACGTATAGGCGTATTGTGCAACCTTATGAATATATATAACTTTAGAGAATAAATGTACAGGGAAACGACACTGAGGTACGCATGACTTTGAGGAATTATCCCCGTGAGCCTCAGCGCTGAATAAAAAGCATACCTACTTTACAACTTTTAACGAGTTGTGGAGTCAATCCGCGCATCACTTGCAGGTGAAGCGAATTAGGGATGCATTTGAAAAGGGCTGTGCATGATTGGGGTCCAGCATGCAGGGAGTCCTCCTACCCCTGTCACTTCCCTGAGGCAAACAGAGAGGACCTGAAAGAGCACAAGTGTGATGGAGAAGGGCTGAGGGACCTGGGGGGTTCAGTGTGGAGAAGAGAAGGCTCAGGGGGGACCTGATCGCTGCCTACAAGTGCCTGAGAGGAGGATGGAGCCAGGAGGGGCTGGGCTCTGCTCCCAAGGAACAAGGGATGGGACAAGAGGAACCGGCCTCAAGCTGCACCAGGGCAGGTTTAGATGGAGCTGAGGAACAATTCCTTCCCCAGAGGGTTCTCAGGCATTGGAACAGGCTGCCCAGGGCAGGGCTGCAGTCACCGTCCCTGCAAGTGCTCACACACCGTGGAGACGAGGCCTCAGTGCCATGGGTTAGCAGTGGCCTTAGCAGGGAATGGTTGGACTGGATGAGCTTAAAGATAATTTTCCAACCTACTTTTTTTTTCTATCATTCCATAAAATGGGGATGGAAAAAGTCTTCGGGGCGAGACGAGAGCTGGTTCTGCTCAATCGAGGCTCTAACCTCCCTTTTGAAGGCCTAGGCGCTGCCAAGCCGAGCCGCCTCGGGCGACCCGGAGCCAGGGGGTGGCTGTCCTCCAGCCCCGGTTCTCCGGAGCGGGTAAACGAAACCAGGAATGGCCGGGAGAGGCGGGGGGGGAGGTGGCGCGGGCCGCGGGTCGGCCCGCGGGGCGGGGCCTGTGTCGTTTCCCCGCCCTCTGCTGCGAGCCCTGCGCGCCGCTCGTTGCCTTGCGCATCTCGCTGGCCCCACCGCCGCACCATGAAGGCGCTTCTGCTCGCTGTGCTGGCTGCGGTGCTGTGCGTGGAGAGAGGTAAGGGGGAGAGGGATGCTCACGCTACCTACCCACAATCATCAGTTCTTCCTGAGGTGCCCCAGTCCTTCCCCAACCCTGGATCTGGGAGCAGATGGGGCTGTGTTTGTGTGCTGCGTCTTAAAGGGTGGGTGCTGGAAGTTGAGGGTTGTAAAGGAGCTGCGGGGGATGGAGCTGAGCCGTGCTGGGGTTTAGCGCGGGGTTCGGGGGTGTCTTTCCAAGACCTGCCTCGCAGCAGGGTCCCTCCTGAAGCAGGAACTTCAGGGTTCCTGTGCCTGTGTAAGTGCGCATCTCCAGCTGTGCATGGAGGTATTTTGGAGCTTTTCCCGGTTGCAGCTCGAACAAAGACCAGGGCCGGTTCCGCTCCCCCTTTTCGGTGCAGCGAGCCGGGATATAACGGCGCCGGAACGGGCAGAGATGGAGCCAAGGGGAAGGAGGGTGGAGGGGATATGGAGCCCAGCCCCGGCAATGGCTGATGGAGCAAAGTCTGGCCAGAGCCGGTCGCGATTCTGGCTCTGCTGCCAACCCCCCCCCCCCCCATCATTCTTCGGGGCAGGCAGTGGTGGCCAACATGTGGGGCGATGACCCCCAAGGGACCATGCCCCGTGGAGCAGCATCCTGGGGCTGCCAGCCACGCTGGGGAGAACGTGCTTCCTGTTGCTGGGTGTTAAACCGCAAGTTATCCGAGTTGCAGGGTCTGCAATCCCCGCCTTCCCATCGACTCCATTTCTGACTATCCAAACTCCATGGGGCGGTCTAAACCCCCATATTGTTTCCATATGTCGATGTTTGGAGAAGCCAAACAAAGAGCAAACGGGAGAGTTTTGGGCCCTGCTCTAACACGGGCTTCCCCTTGTCTCCTGAGGATACCGGTGAGAAGAAACTACTTGTTTGCTGCCCTTCCCATGCCCCGTTCCCTTTGGGATCCGGGAAGCAACTGGTAATCCAAGCGTTGGGTCTGGGTTTGAGGCCAGCTGGCGTGTGCTCAGTTCCAGCAGGGAGAATGGGCTGTCCAGGCCAAGGCTGTTAAAAGGTTTCATTTCCCCCCCTTCCAAAAACCCCTTTCAGCTTGAAAGTAAGTTCTTAGCCAGGCAAGAGAGTTGGTTCCAGGTAGCTATAACCCCAAACGCTTCCAGCACATCCAAAGTTATTGTAGATGAGCTTTACCCCCTGCTCCAAGTCTCCTAAAGATCTTGCATATACATAAGGATTTTTTCTAAGAGCTATGGAAAAGGAAAGAGCTCTCGACGCAGGGACTGAATGGAAGAGCTCCCGAAGCAACAGCGTTTTTCACTGCTGCTCAGCTTCAGAGCGGGCTTTTAAAGGCTTTTCTTTTCCCTTTTCTCCTTGCTCTATGCGAGAATGGATCCAAACTCTTATCTGAGGAATTCCCCCAACTGATCCGCTCTGCTTTGGGAGCTCTTTGTTCCTCGGAGGAGCCGAGCAGCAAAGGAATAAACACATGGATTCTTGTGCACTTGGTGGATATGAGGCTTCCCTTTCGCATTGTTCAGTCTTGGGCCTTTATTTCCCCCCTTTTCTTTTCCTCCTTATAGCCTTGAACTCCAGCTCTTTGCTCTGTCTCCGGCTGGGGCACAATCCTGCCCACCCCTCTTGTGCCTTTTGTCCAAAGCACTCAGCCTGTTTGCTCTCTTTAACTCTGCGGTGGGTTATGCAGTGGTGTGCTTTGCTGGGGCAGAACGTGGCACTGGTTCTGAGTTATTCCCTCTTTAACGATGTTGAGGGACTTGCTTCTCCTGGGAAGATATTGTCTATATTAAGGGGTAATGTGCAGGGTGACAAAGGAAAACATGGGGATAGGTAGGAGATGCTGTGGTAGGAGCGTAGATTGAGTCACGTGGCAGCAAATTTCATGCCTAAAGGTGCCTTTGTGTGCATGTACAAGTATTTCTGATGTGTTTGTATCTGGAATGTCTAAGCCTCAATGAATAGCCCTGCACCCCTCGATGCGTGCATTCAGCGTAGTGAGCAAATGCATATGGGAACATATGTCCTGCCATAATGCCCACAGGAAGCCTGTAATCCACTTCATTCCTGGTTGCAGGCGGGGTTCCTGTGCAATGGGATGAGTCAATTTGCCTCCTCAGTTTGCCCTCAGGATGGTTGCAAGGAGAAGGGTTTGGGATAGGTCACTCCAGAGACTGGAGAGCAGAAACGTGCTGGGGACAATGGAGCAGCAGGGAGCTGGCCTTCGCTCTGAGGTTCCGAACTGAGGTTTGGACACCCCATGGACAACGACAACCCGACAACCCATGGGCGGTGACACCCAGGGACAATGACAGGCTGTAGACTTAATGCCTGGCTCTATCCTCCTTCTTCTGCCATAGATCCAGAGGCAAGGTTCATTTTGATGCATCTTTCCTGGGGCTTTTGACTCAACGGGTGGCCCTGTAATCCTGGTGCTGTGTGTGGGTTGTGGCTGCTTCATTGGCATGCTCCGGTTTTGTTGCAAGGGTCATTGGCACACTGATAATCATTGGAATATGTATGGGACAGCCCAGGAAATTCTTGCTCAGGGGGTTGTGCTGTTGGCCTTGTCTCCAAAGCAGAGTCGTTTGCCTGTCCTGATGTGATGTTCAGGATCTCCCATTAACCTGTTTTAATCTGTTTCCTTAAGATTATGTTTTAAGTCTTCTTTCCCTGCCTTGGCCATGGCTGCCCAAAAGTCATTCCTCCAAAAAATATTGATATTTTTTTCCCAATAAAAAGCTTTATTTTCCCAATAGGAATGGTAATCGGGAGACCCTCAAGAGGTCATTCAGTCCCATTGGTCATGCTGACCAGTATATCTATTCTTCCAAATACTCCATGACAGGGACTGCTGAGCCGCAGTGAGCTCTCCCAGGGCTTAGGATAATCTGTTTGTGGTGGGGCTAGAAGAGATAGGAAGAGCAGGAATGATGCTGCCTTGCACTTCCTATCTTGAATGAGCCCCCATTCTGTTTTGCATCCTGTTAACACAGCAGAGAAAGGCAGTGCCTCATGGGAGGGCTTGTCTGAGTGCTCAAAACAAACCTGATCTGTCTTCATATGTAGGTCAACAACTGCAGCATGGCTGTGATGTTCTTGTATGTAAAATGCAGACAAGAGCATCCGGCCACTGCAGAGTGCACATGTCCCTGCTGAGTCACAGGTCCAGGCTCCTTCTGCAACCATTTCCCACCTCTGAATGGGATGTTCCAATCTTTTCTCTTCCTTGGGTAGATCTGAGGGATGGGAAGAAGCTGGTTTAGTCTGTCCTGCTGGCATAGGATAAGCCAGTTCCATAGAGGAAGGAATGGGTTTCTTTGCTATCCCTCTACTCCAACTTAAAAGCTTGGCTGCGTATGCTGCCTTCATAGTGTTATAACTCCCTGGGGAGCAGGACAGGGCAGGTCCTTGAAGGTCACGCTGCAGTGCTGCCTTGCTCTAGCTACTTGTTTCCACCACGTGCACTAACTCAGGCATAGCCTGAGCTTTGTACCCTGCTGCCAAAAGAAAGTCATGGGAAGCTCAGACCTGTGGTCATGCCTGCAGCATTTCCCATCAATGCCCGTGGCAGTTGAGCTGCATAAACCCAGATCTCAGGCTCTAGGTTACAAGCCTGAACTTACCTCTGCTGTTTAGCTTCAGGTTGGTAGCTGTACCTTGAACCCATGTGTGGTGCAAACAGGAGCGTGCCATAAAGGTTTACCTGTGGTTGTATTGAGGCTTTAGCTGACAGTTGATCCTGCAAAAGCTCAAAATGCATCTGTTGTCATAGGATCATAGAATGGTTTGGGTTGGAAGGATCTTGAGATCATCCAGTTCCAACCCCTGCCATGGGCAGGGACACCTTCCACTAAAGCAGGTTCCTCCAAGCTCCATCCAACCTGGCCTTGAACACTGCCAGGGATGGAGCATTTACCACTTCCTTGGGCACCCTGTGCCAGTGCCTCAGCACCCTCACAGTAAAGATTTCTTTCCTTATCTCCAACCTGAACTTCCCCTGTTTAACTTTAAACCCATCACCCCTTGCTTGTGCTTGAACCCTTCACTTGGCCATTTTTTTGGGGGGGAAAACCTAAGGTAGATTGATACAGCCGAAATAGCAAGTGTGGCTGTGGCCGTGTGCCATGTGTCAGAGATGGGGACCACCATGTCAAGAGCTCCTGCCTTCATCCCCTGACTGCTGTGTGCTTTTCTCTTGCAGCCCACACACTCATCTGCTTTTCCTGCTCGGATGCATCCTCCAACTGGGCCTGCCTGAAGCCTGTCAAGTGCGGGGAGAATGAAAACCACTGTGTGACAACATACGTCGGAGTAGGAATCGGTGAGTGCTGACGGGACCGGCATCTTCTGCCCCTCTTGGCTGCTCTCCCGGGTCTCCTTGTGAGCTGCGGGGAGGTTTTCCTTCCTTTGGGTGGGAAAAGGGGAAAAGTTCTGTGGTCAGATTGAGTGTCGGACCAGCCCAAGGGATTTAGGAGGGACATGCTGCCAGACGGAGTCATGTTAAAGTCCACACGCCTGCACCGATGCAGGGAATCCAAAGGGAATTCCGGAATGGGGGCAGGGAGTTTGCTGATGAGTAAGTGAAAGCGTGGAGGATGCTGCTGGCTTCCTCTGGAGGAAGCTCCGGGGTTGCCCTTCCTGCTTTTTGCCCTGTGTTGGGGTTTAGTTCATCCCTCAATCCCGCCTTTGCTTCTTCGCTGCCTGTGGATGAGGTGGGGTTGCCAGGAAGGGAGGTTTGCAGGTCTCCTCCTTAAGAGACAGGAAAGATCTGGTGGGGTCTGTGCTTCCTGAATGCTGCTCCTAAGGAAGCACCATGGCAGAGCTCAGAGCCCAGCTTGCAAGAGGGAGGGATGCTGCACGTCTGAGTCGCGCAGCCCTTGATGTGGGTGGCTTGTGCGTGTACAAATGGAGGCAGGGAGCTTTTATAAACCTGTCTTCTTAGCGCAGTGCTAATGGTTTCCTATTTCTTGCTGCTAAGTGTAGGCTGTGCCTCTCGCAGCCAACGACTGAAACAGGGACTTTACTCTGCCTCCCTGGTGCTTTACGCCCCGTGTCTCGCTTGAGGAGTCCCAGGGTGAAGCTTGAGATACTTGAGATTCTTCACTGGAGCTGTTGTGGCCAAACTCTGGCTGATGGCCTGCAAGGGCTGTCCCTGGGGTGCTGCGTGGGTTTCTAGTGTTTGTAAGGGAGGTTATCACGGGTGTTGAGCTGGCTGAGGTTACTGTCATAGCCTGATGCTTAGAAGCACTTCATCCTCTCTGTGCTCATGTGATGCTTTGGCTATTTCCGTGCTGTTACTTCCTTTGCAGAGTAAGTGAAACATTCTAAACCCAATCTCCTCCTGTTTTTCTTTCTCCTCCTCTTACCTCACCCTAAATACAGGAGGCAAGTCTGGCCAGTCCATCTCGAAAGGATGCTCTCCCATTTGCCCCAGTGCCGGGATTAACCTCGGCATAGCGGCTGCCTCCGTGTACTGCTGCGACTCCTTCCTCTGCAACATCAGTGGTTCCAGCAGCGTGAAAGCCAGCTACACTGTCCTGGCCTTGGGGGTCCTCGTTAGCTTCATCTATATCCTCAGGGCTCGCGAGTGATGGGGCTGGCCGAGGAAGAGCCGTCTTCCATAGGCTGTCGCAGGTCTCATTAGCCAATATCTTCTCTGTTGCTGTCTGCAAGGAGATCCTCTACTTCTCAACAGGCTTCCAAGGTGATTGTTTCCCAGACTTTATGCTCTTCCAGCATTGGAGACCTGGGCAGTTTGGCCAAGCTGTTCTCTTCTGTGGACATACTCCACTGCACTCTCACACCTCCTTGGCAAAGGTGGATCGTTTTGGAAGGGTTTCTGCTTTTATACCTAATACTCCCCCTCACCCTCGTTTCTAAGGTTGGCTAAATCAAAGCTGGGACTCGCTGAGGACCGACTGAACCCCAGACACCACCCGGTCAAAGCGTTCAGACCTTCCTGCCTCTCACCTCTATGGAGGTGCCTGGCACCGGCGTGCTCCAGCGCATGGATGGCCCGGGGATTAGGAATGCATGACCCAAAGGGAGACACATTCCCGGCCCCTTGCAGCTGCAGTCTCTTTTTTATAAAATCCTATTGTTTCTTCTGATCCTGGGCTGACTTTTCTGGAAAATGACATGTCCTTTTGTCCTTCCAAGTTCTGTAAGTACCAGACCTGAATAAACATGCTCCTGTTGTTACCTGAGCTGGGACGTGTGCTGTGTGTGTTTCCTTGCTCCGGACACAGAGATTAGAAAAGCCCTTATGGAAAACCCAAATGTTATGCCTGGCACGAGGGCTTCTTACCTTCTCAAGTGGCTTCATCTCAGCATTCCTTCCAGTTCACCTCTGAGCAGCAAGTCCGTCTCTGATCCACACCTTGCTTCACCTCTCTTGGGAATCACCTTTTCCAGGTGCGATTCAGTGGCAAATGCCAGTTATCGTGGTCTGAATCAACCCCGTCACTCCTAAAGGAGCAAGTCTATGAAGAACAGGGCCTCTAACAAGCAGTGTGCATGATACAAAGACTTGGTGGCTCAGTTTCCCCACTTAGGACTCATGATGGTGACAATGACATCGATACCTAAATGATCCAGGGCAACAGGTCTGCAAAACATAGCAAAGTCAATGGCAAAGATCCTTGGGTTCAACCTGCAGTCCCTGGCTGATGGTGCAACATGGACTGCAGCAGGTGACTTCACCACCAACCCTGCCACTCCTGTCCTTCAGCTCCCAGCATCTTCCCAGGTCTTCCAGCAACGTTGCTCCTCAGAGTTCTCAGCCATCCCATGGGAGGTGTGTCCTGCCACTTCTGCTGGTTTCCTACCTGCTTTGCCTACCTGTGGACCTGCTTAACACAAACCAAGCCAAAATTGAGCCTTAAACTGCCAGGTGAAAGCTTGCTGTCACTTCCACGGATGGATCAGAGGTGCTCTGGGCTTTTTTTGCTTCATCTAACAGCAAAAATGAGGTGTAACATTGGCACTCTTTAGTCATGCCCTCCTTGTATGTGGTTCTGTTTTCTGTCAAGCAAGCCACAAAAGCTGCACACGCTGATAAATTACACCTTTATCCCCGCTTAAGTGAGTGTTAAACAGCTTGTTTTGGAAAATGGGGTGCAGATGTATGGAAATATTAGCACCAAAAGTGGTTACATGCTTTTTCCTCCTCCTTCTCCCCATCTTTTAATTAAAATGACACATACTAATGACAGCCTTTACAGCAGGAGGGACTGGTCCCATCGTGACATGACCCACAATTAGGTGATGAGCTCGGTAAGAATGCATTGCTTGCCTCCTTGGTTCCTTGGATGTGCCTTCCTCTGGTTAATACATCCTCCCTTGCCTGCTGGGACCACAGGGCTTGAGGTGTGCCACCAACCTCTGCTGTGCACCTGGAGAGCAGGGAAGACTAGGGAATACATGAATAGAAATGCAGTAAATATTCCCTAGTTTTCCTCTGCCTGAGCCTTTCTCCCAAGAGGGTTACAAATCTCATTTGCAGGGTTATTTTGTTCCCTGCCATTAGCTGTGAGTAGATGCTGTAGTGAGACTAAGGCGGACCTGAAGTACTCTACCTTGCTTGTAATGAGGCTGTAACTCTTCTAAGTCACCTGGTAAAAGGTATCTTGGTTTTGAACTCGCAACATCTCTGCTGTGAGCAATTTAAAAGCCATCAGTGTAACCATGTCCTGATGCCTCAGCGTAGCTGGGTCCTGATGCTTTTTCATGCCTTTATGAGGCTCTTCAGGATGCCACACTGGAGAACCCTCTGCTAAAGCAACAAGCAGGGTTATGAGACTTGATTGTCTCCTCTCATGGCCATCTCCTTCCTATCTCAGCACTAGAAATTTGCTCATGCCAAGGGCTCGGTTATACAAGGGAGCAGGGGTTGGTGGGAGGAGCATTCAGCAAGCTACTTGCCCTATACGAATAATAAGTTATATTCATGTTATTGCCAGGGGACAGATCTGAAGGTCAGTTCACACGTGTTTCTAAGCCTATAGTTGATGAATAGATTGTGTTTTTCTTCCCTCTTCACTCTTTTTCTGTCTTCCTCATGTGCTATATTCCTGTGCCCTTCGTAGATGGAAGAGGAGATACTTCAAACATGTGGCAAGGATCTCTTTGACAGATACATGTACATTTGAGAGAGCAGGAGGCTATGACAGCTTGTCAAATGCAAGAGAAGTTACTCAGCAATTGAATCCAAAGCATCCTATGATAATTTCTGCCAACTATCACATTTCTGGTCCTACTATAGAGGATGTTTCTTTTCCCTCAAATGCCCAGCACCAGAAAACATGTGAGAACCTTTAAAGCCCAGGAGTAAAAGGCCTGAAAATGCAGCTGTAGTAATTAAAAACATTAATAATAATAAGGAAATAAATAGTAAGACCCCAGGATTTATAGAGCACTGAAACTGGTGGCTTATTAAACGAAATGCCTGCTTTGGAACTTGAGGACCATGGTGGGACAGCCCTTAAGTGCTTTGAATGTGTTTACTTGGTCAGTAGAATTCGAGATGGAAATCTCAGCAGAGAACTTAGATCTTCATCTTTCCTGACAAGATGAGAGGTTGTGAAGGGAGGCAGCTTTGCTCCAAACAGGCATAAAATATCCTGGAACAGTTTTCATTGGGAAATAAGACCTTAAGTCAAGTATCTGCCTATTTTGGAGCTAATGAGAATATGGTTTCTGTGCTTCTGTCCTGGAAATGGCTGTATTTCAACGGCAGCTGCTGCTGTCTACCACTACGCCAGCGTTACAAGGGCTCTTGTTGTCTATTGTCTGTACATGCTCAAAGCTCACTGCAGCACCAGCCCTCTCCATCCATGTCCATTGGGTTTGCTGTTTGCCAAAAAGGAGGGCTTAAAAATGAAACGAGGCTCTTCCAACTGTTTTTCTCCTTTTGGATAACACAAACCTGATGTGACTTCCTTGCACAAACAGCCAGAACAAATAAGGCAGAGTTGCTTAATCATTACTCAAAGGATCCACATCGTTATTCAAAGAATGTCCTTGCTTGGTGTTAATGTACTCAAGTTGTGGGTTGTTTGAAATGACTTGCCACCCAGGATCCCTGTTTGCCATGAAGGAGGCTGTGGTCCCACCATGCCTTTGGGAAGCCTGGTAGCTCTGGTCCGGGTGGCTGTGCCTTCATGCAGGAATGAGATATAGTTATCCGTGGTCTCCTGTTTATGGGAAAGGCAGGTGTGGTGCACATCTGGATGCTTGGTGGTTTAGGGCCCTGTCACAAGCTTCAATCTGTATGCTTCTATAGCCTGGGATGTGCTTTCATTGCCATGCTGTGGGTCTTGGCTGTTTGGGGTGAAGATGCCTCCTTCCTTGATCCCGGAGGAGTTATTTCACACCTGGAAGGCTGCTGTCTGAGGCTATCAACCTGGAATGGGAATAGACACACCCCATCTTGCATTGTGAGAGTGTCGTGGTGCACGAGGAAGCCAAGCCTTGGGTCCGTCCTGCCATCTACTGGCTTATGGGAGACTTGGTAGAGAAGCTTTGAAGCCCAGATTGCACAAGGAAGCACCCTTAGCATATGAAGGAGGGAATAGGGAGCCGAGGGCAAGCTACCATTGACCAGATAATTGCACGTGATGCAGCGAATCAGCAACATCAGGATGAGGTTGAATGTTTCGTCCAGCTTTAATAGTGTAAATTGTGACATGAAAGGCTTAAACAGGTTTCCCAAGTCCAGCATCTTCCGAAGGAACACTTTTTTTTCCAGCCCAAACCCTACCTTTTCATCACAACTGAAACGCTCCATAAAAATACAATAAGGCAAATAAAGTGTTGCAGGAAAACGATTGACACCTTTTATTTCAGCTTTGTTGGATGATCTCATTTCACTGAGATGGCTCCACTGTAACATCGATTTTACTAATACATGTATGTGAGATTTGTAATCGTGTATTACCTTTGTTGTAACACAATAAGCGGAATAAAGCAGCATTGATTCCTTTAAATATATTAACACCAGTATAAGTGTAGCGTATGTTACATATTGTTTCTTATACTCTAATAAAAATATATGGAATTAATAAAAAAGGTACACTTGGAACAATGTTTTTGGATGGTTTTATAGATATTATGGATTAGCTGCGTGAAAACAAAGCACTTGGGTTGGATTCAAAGCCCAGGGCTGGGGGTTGCAGGCCAAAAGGAAGACAGTTATCCCTTCCTATAGGATACAGTGAGGGATAAATCCATACATGCCATCTCAAGGCCACTGGAGTCTCTTCCTGGTGATGGATAAAGAACAGGGATTGTCTTTGCCTTCAATAGGCATGCTCATTAATACCATTGACTTGTCCATGACCTTACAGGGAATGGAGATGGGATTTGTCCTTCGAGCCTCTGCTCTTCCCGTTGGAGAGGGCGGCTATTTTGGGCACATAATGGCCTCTGTGTGGGTGTCCATGGGCAGCTGCTCCTCTTCCTGAGCTCCCTGGGGCTCCCTGTTCCCACTCCTGCCTGTGGACAGATGCACACACGGATGCACAGATATGGTGCTGGTTGCTTTGGAGACACCCCCCCGCCTACCCCATGCTCCTGAATTTGGGAGCAAGAATACCTGCTGCTTTGTAAAGATGTGTCATCCTGATCTTTGTTTAAAGCTTTATTATTTCTGGGAGCACGGTTGGATCCTGTGGGAGAAGGAGATGATGTTCCCTGGGGAATGTGAGACATATGCAGAATAACAGCGATGGCTCTCAAGAGCTTCTTGGTTTCTTTTTATGCCTTGAAATAAAGGCAGAAAGGTGTTTATTCCTTTTCTCTGGATAACCCCAGCCTGGATTATCTGTTTCCTGGGAAAGGGTCTTCTCCATTGCTCTCCTTCCTTGCAATCTGTATATTGCAATGTGCAAGTGGTTTTGGGGATGGGAGGGCATCAATGGTGACAGGGAGTATTTTGGGGACTGAAGGGCATTGCACTGCGGTGATCAAAGAAGAAACCTGTTCCTAAGAGCTTACACCTCCCTCTTGCTTGGCATTCCTCTCCTTTCTATTCCCTGCTCCTGCTATTCCATGGAGACCTGTCTGTCCCTAGGCAGGCCCAGGATGGGCTTTCCCACATTTCTGGTTCAGAAAGTTAAGGGAAATGGTGCCATTTCTCCCAGTCTAAGAGGGAGCACCACCGATGCTAGAACGCAGAGGTAATAGAGCTGCTTCCCTGGTTAAGGTC